TTCATCTGCTTTTCTGTCGGTGACTTTATATCACAGTAAAGAAAAGAGGGGATGGATAAATGCAGCAGAATAGAGCATTCCAGAAACTGACCTGTGTGTGTGTCAATTTATTATATGTAAAAAGATGTATCTGCAAATAAGTAGTTATGAGATAATTGGATTTTCTAGGGAAAAGATATTAGATTCCTAACTCATTCCATGAAAAAAAAATTGTTCCAGATCTAAAAATAAAAATCTAAAGATAAGTATTTTAAAATCTAAATATAAAAGTGAAACTATCTCAGTGGGAGAAGCAGATAACATGAGGTCTAGAGTATCTTCCTTACTAAAAGAGCTTATGCAGACATTGTAAAGGAAAAGATTGGCAGATTTTTATATGTATAAATTACAAAGTATCATGCAGTGAAAGATATGATAAACAGCAATTCAGAGACAGAATGGGAAAAAATTTTTGCAGTATTTATAGTAGTCTTGTATTTCATAATATACAAAGAGCTCCTAACATTAAACAACCCGCAGGTAAGATGAACAGTTAACTTGTGAGGTTGTGCGGAAGTGAGTTCTTTGGTGGGGATATACATGATGCAGCCTCTTGAATTGGCAGTTTTCTCAACATTTAAATTATGTTTTTACTTTGTAATTACATTACAAAAAATGTGCCCTGCTGATAGCCTTGAATACGTACCGCACAGAGACACATGTATGAGGAAGTTCGTGACAGCGTGTCGCGTAGGGAACAGTCGGAAACAGCCCGTCTGTGCCTGGACTGGTGGTTAAAGAAGCTGACTGTATCCCTGGTTTGGAGCACAGTTTGCTCCTTAGCTCAGTGTGGGGACGTCCAGGAACGTTAATAGTGAAAAGTATTGTTCCCTCTAATAACACATTGTTTATTATATTTATGTAAAAAGCATAAAATACTAAGATTCTGTACACATATGTATATATATAGTTATGTATGTAGTTAAGTGCATGAAGTAATGTCTGGAAGGACTCTCATGAAAATATTAACAATGCTTATGTCTCGAGGTGGGAGAGAAATGGACTTAACTCTTGGTTGAATTTTGTATTGTGAGCATATGTATGCGGGTTTGGGAAAGCAGGTGCAGCCCCGGGGGGTGGGAGGGCGCCAGGTGGGCCCCAGAGCACCTCTGAAGGGCCCTCAGGCCGTGGCCCTCCTGCGTAGGCGGGCCTGCCTGACAAGTGGAGGCCGCCCGTACCTTCCTGGACACAGGAGACCTGGGGCGGAATGAGGCGAGGCCGAGGCCTTTGGGAGCTTGTTGCCCGCCCCGCGAGATCAAAAGCTTGTTTCTTCAAACAAATAACTCTAGCTAATTTCTGTTTTTAACCTCCCTGGGCACACCTTGAACGTTGGTGTACTGACTTTACCGATGAAACTAGAAAAAGTATTATTTATTCTTGATAAAAGTGTTCTCTTTTTATTTAAGGAAGCAGCAAGAAAGAGAAGATTGGAATTGACTGAGAAAGAAAAGAAAAACACAAGGATCAGGTAGTTTTTTTGCTCTTATTTTCCTTCCCTTGCCACGTTGTAGATGATAAGAGTTTCAAGAGTTCTAAGAAGTCTGTCTTTACCGTCATTCCGGATCTGTTTACTGAGGCCAAGCCGATGAGAAGGCAGGAGAAGGAAAGGGTAAGGGGGTGCCTGTCCTCCCCGCCCGCGTCCTGGGTTAGCGGAAAGTTTCCATTTTCCTGCTAAATGTATTTCATGCGTTTTATATTGAATACTTGAAGTGGTGTTTTGTTTCTTTCTTTCTTACCTCCGAAGCTGGAGAGGATAAATCGGCCCAGGGAGCAGGGCTGGAGAGACGTGCTGAGCGCTGGCAGAGGCGGCGAGGTCAAGGTAGGCCCTTGACACCGTTTCTCCAGGGTCGCCCCACTCTGTACAATGTGTGCAGCTGGCTTTCTTGGAGTGCATTCACTTTTCACCTAGAGTTCCTCCATCTGCTGTGAATTCCTAGTTTTCCTGCTCACATTTGGTCTGTAACTTGTACTGATAACTAACATGTGAAATTGAAATTTGCTGTGAAAGTTGGCTGTGGGGGCTGTGACAGACCGTCCTGCCAGAGGAATCTTGTTAACATCAAATACAGTTTGTGCAGGCAGTGTTACTTTGGGCAAGTTACTTGACTTTTCTGAGCCTTCGTTTCTTCATTAAAGAGAAAGAAAATGTGAAGAGCAGTGGCAGGAGCGTGGCTGGCAGGGCTCGCCCACAGACCCCTGCCCCTCCCCTTGTGCTTTCCTGTTAGTAACACAGGACACTGCTTGCAGTTGTCAGTGCTTACAGTACAGTGGGAAAGCACTTTCCCTTTAGGCTATATGGGTATTAATATGTCAAATCAAGTAGCTACCTTTTGGAAGTCAAGTGTTGAGATGCACTGTTTCCTCCCAAGGGTGGTGCGAGCCTCTGGGCCTTATGAGACGAGCACGTGAGTCCTCTTTGTTTAATTCCTAGGCTCCCTTTTCTGGCAGTGGAGGGGCTGTGGCTCCAGCATCCTTTTCTTCTCGGCAGTACGAGCATTATCACGCTATTTTTGATCAGATGCAGCAGCAAAGAGCAGAAGACTGCAAAGCGAAGTGGAAAGCAGACATCCCCGGCCGAAGCCCTCCGGAAAGGTGCGCTGACAGTGGCCTGTGTGCTGCCTTCGAGAAAGGAATGGACGTCAGGGGTGTGTTCCCCCGCAGAGGAGGCCCCCTGGGTGCGTCCGGGACTTCCGAGGGGCCACAGGCCAGCGCCCCTGGTGCTGATGCTGTTAGAAAACCTTGGAAAAGATGGAAGGCCGTGTCTGAACAGGCTGCTCAGCCAGGCTGGACGGGGATGGTCCTGCGTGTGATTTTGTCTCGTCACGTTCAGTGTACCACCTATGCGCTGCGTGTCTCCCCCGTTGACACGTCGGTCTGAGGGGCTCTCTCTGCCCATGGGCTGTGGCCGTTGTCTGGTGTGCGGGTCTGGCCCTTGGTTCTCCACGGCACACGTGGAGCTCTTCGCTTCAGCCTAACTTTGTAGCTTATAGATGCTGTAGGCTG